GATTATCTAGATAGAGGATAAACCCAAAAGGAATCAAGTTGCACTTTGAGCAGAGAGGGCTTTTCTTTTAAGCAGGCATTTGGTTAAGATAATAGGCTTGAGACCCTAATTGATTATTACTATTTTAAGGTTTTAAGATGGCTATGTATAGTGAGATGCTGAACATGAAAAAGGCTTTAGAAACTGCTTCAGTGCTAGTTTGGCGACTTGCGTAATTTCAAACCACTGAAAAGGAATCAAAGTCTCCCAAAAAGCTGTTCTTCAAAGCTTAATGCATTGTCACTTGGACTGTAGTGGAAGAGAAATAACTGGATTTGGACTTTTTCATCTTCAAAGGAGTAACTCTTTCCCAGTTTTATTTAAGCTTGGATTTCAGGAAACCGGCTATATCTCTGTTTAGAAAATACCTTGTATATTTATGCTGCAATCTAACTATGTTATAATAAAAATAATACTGTTGGATTACACAAGGAAGCCTGCTAATTAAATAACAATAGTACCTCAAGCACCTTGAAAACATCTTCTGATATTCAATTAAGGAACAATAACCCGATGAACTTTAACCTATAGACCATATTCAGACTTTCTACATAAAAGTAATTGCATCAGTCATGATTTTCTCAAGCTACAACACAAGCTCTTGATTGGTAGCTCAATGTCTGAGACTCCTTTTTACAGCATTAATTGGGAAAGCAGACAATACTCTCCCTGTAAACTAGATTTTAGGACGAAGGTTAGTTGCCTTTGTACACGTTTACTCATTGAAATAGGAATGTTTGCTTAATAATTCAAAACAAATAGCATTAGACAACAAGTCCTAATCCTGATTTCTCCTCTGCCAGTGTAAATTAGGAGAAAATTAGGTGAAACTCTATTTGATCAGTGTAGAAAGACTTGTTTAAAACTTCTGTGAGATCAGAATTAGGCTCGAGCAATACAAGCCTTTTCTTCTGGCTTCTTTACTGGGATCTAAAAGAAGAATATGTAAATCACATTATGAATTTTCTCCCCAATTAAAGAAGCCATCAAGTTATGGAAAGATGTGGTACTTGTTATAATAGTGTTGCATCGCATTTGTACGCTACACCAAACGTATGATTGGGTCATGGCATGTTATTTGTTAGTCAGTATCCTGATCTGTTTTATTCGATTTGGTCCTATTAGCCTGGGTTTTTTTACCCCTCAGGGGGAAAACGATCATCCTCATGAGCCAAAGTGAGGTCTTGAGCAATGAGCAAACTCCTAGCTGCACCTAGACTTGAGTCGAAGGAATGGTTCAACAGTATATTTAAATGCCTGCTTAACTTTGTCAGCCCATCTTTATTTGGCAGGACAAATAAGCATGTGCTTTAGTCAAGCATGTGATTAAAATTAAGCACGTGCTCTAACTGCTTTGCTGAGTCAGGGCCTGCCTTGGCTAGCCAGGTGTCTTAATTTATACCCAGAATTTCAGTGAATGAGCTGTGTTAGTTTTTTTATAAAGTGAGTAAAAATTCTCTCATCCTCATTTTGAACACCTGCTTTACTACCAAAATGTGACTGTCGCACAAAGCTGCAGAGATAACCCGATCATATACAGCAATTTCAATGTCCTATCTTTGGGATATTTAGCAAAAGTATCGCAGTACATGTATTACAGTAAAGTGCCGTATGAAAAGTAAATCTTGCAAGCTTTCAAGATGTTTAATCATCTCTTCAGTAAAGGAGCTCGTTAATGCTAACATCTGCATATATAATTGCTTGGCTTTACCTATTTTTTTTCTCATTCAGAATTAAGTGGAACAGCCAAATTGACATATTTTTGCATTTTGACCCCTCTTAATATGTGCAAAAATGTTTACTTCACATATTCTGTCGGTCCTGCTATTTCCCAGGCATTCTTCTTTTACATGTCTGGCTTCTTTGTCCCGTTTCTCTCATTTTCTTGTTGCACTGTTACCACAGCTCAGCAAAAGCTAGTCTTAGGCCGGGATTTTGCAATCTGAACCAGCCACGCAAACCTTTAAACTTTCCTGGAGTTCTACTGAACTGTGAATTCAGACCAACTGTGCGTCGAAATGAGTTCAAGATACAACTCTAAGCCAAGGGCATTGCTTTTATGGGCATCAAGTTATTATTAATGATTGGCGAGACGAGCCCCCGATTTCCTAATGTTTATAAGTAAATAACGAATTGGAGAATTGTGAAATTCACCTTTCATTTGTGAAATGTTTATTTTCGGTATTGAAGGATGAAAATCTAATCACTCTCGTTGACGTGCTGTTGTTTAATGATTACTATTACGTGTACACGCCTAAGAAATGTTCCTACAGAAGTGGACATTTCAAGTATACCCAGCAAAATAAGAATTATTAAATTACCAGGCCCAAGCTACCTTATTCAACTTTTCTCATGCCCTGCATAACCCTGAGAGATAGAATGTGTTTTAAACCATCCTACGGCATTTTAATGTCTGGTTTTACCTGTGTTTGCTACGTTGAGGTAACACGGTTAGCTGTGCAACAAACATGTTTTCGCTGGGTGATTACAAAGTGCCCTAGACTTTCCCTTAAAAAAATCAGCCCAATGTCCTACCGTAGCTCTGATTTGGTTTTTACTTCCATATTTAAATTTCACCTTCACTCTTAGTGCAATGGGAACCTTCCTGAGAGATGCAGGTGGGAGTGGACACCAGAGCAGAGCCAGTATGGTGCACTGTGAAAAAAAAATCCGACACGTGACAGATGTTTGTAGCATCGCTGAATGCACTTCTGGAAGTTGCTCAGATACTGCCATGATGAGCACAGTATGAGAAGTTACACAGCATAGACTGGCTTCCCTACGAAGGGCTCTGCGGAGTAGTAAGCATCCTGGCCCTGATCCAGCAAGGCACTTAAGCATATGCTTAATTTTAGGCACATGAGTGGTTTCAGTGAAGACCTAAGAGAATTATTTTTAATTCACAGATCATTTAATTCAATAGGCAGGTCTGCTGCAGCATATGAAAAGTAGGTCTTCATATTAAAAATACTTGGGAAATTGTCAATGAACAAACATCGTGTACGGCCATCAACCATTTCTAAAAAGCAGAATGATGTAGTCATCACCTTTATTATGGTAAAATACAAAGTAGATCAGGCAAAAGCATTTACAATTATCTGAAAGCTATTTTGAGGTTGAAAATAAGGAAAAATAAAAGCTTGTAAGAACATTTTTTCATTTGAAGTAGAGAAAAATTTATTCTCTTGATGTAAATAAAAACCTTGTTTGCAGATTGAGGAATTTGTTTGTGTTGAATTTCAGCATCAATTTCAATATTTTATAGTACATTTATCTACAGCTGGAGCATGACAGATTTGTGTATATTTATATGTTTGTGTACATAATACATATGTATACACACATACACAAGGATGCCCAAAGATATACATATACACAGTTTGAAAACTCATCATTATTGCTGAAGTATAAAAACATGCCTGATGTAGAAACTTGTCTCAAGTCTGTTAGCTTAGCGACTGCGTTCATCTGGCACTGTGGGATGCTCACAGAAGCAGGGAAGTTCTTCTATGCAGGAGCAGAATTTGCTGAGATCTTGGCTGGAAATGAAGGGCTGACCTCCCTCCAGATCTCTCGCAAACCTTTTCCTGACACGTCACCCACCATAGTCCTGCACACAAGAGGTGTTTCTTTTATTTCCCGTGCTGCAGTTAGAAGTGGCAACAGGATATGTTGGGTTTTTTAAACAACCCCGAAAGAAAGCCAGGAGAACAAACGTGCAGCTTGCATTAGTCCTATTGCTCTGGTCATTAGAGAAAGGTACCCAGGTATTGCCAGGATGAGCATGGGGTCCAGTAGAATATACCGAACGTAGGGAAATTGTACTGAATCTGACAAACAATTAACAACGGAGCAGATGGTGCCCCTGCAAAACATTCAATAATATACGTGTGCGTGCACCGGAATCAGTGACTCTAAGTAGGACAACCTAAAAAGGTATGCCACTTATCCTGTGGACAAGTAGGACTTTACAGTTCTTTTAATAATCTCTTTATCCTGAGATTTCTCCTTTGACCCTGATTTCAAAAGCAAGAGGTCAGTCTGGACGACTAACTGCAGACCTCTAATTGAAGTCCAGATACGTGCGGCGTGAACTGCTGTATCCCGCTCCCCACACTGACACTGGGCTGCGGCCCGAAACTGCTCCTTTTGTAATTGATCATACCCGTGAAAATTAAATGAACATTTGGTGGTAGGCATGTTTTCAGAGAAGAAGGAAAATACTGTTATGTAAAGTGTAATAACATTTTGATACCAAGCGTAGAGGCATTCCTTGCACAAGGGAAAGCGAGCGTGGAAGCGTATGCCCTGGTTCCTAAAGACACTCCAAAGCTCAAAGTTAACACTTTTCTTATGCAGAGATTTATTTTTCTTTTCGAAAGCTAGTTTTAAATGTTATAATTTTTTCTTTTTTTTTGGGGGGGGTGGGAAAGGCATTCATGTAATTTTTTTGAACCAGCTGCTATTTTAAGATTTCCCTAGTGTAACCTTAGAAAAATGAAGAGTACATCTTTAAATCTTGTTTTGTTTGAATGAATGGGTAGATAATCCTGATCAGATGTTTCTTTAGAGAATAATGTTTAAAACGATTATGGAACTTAGCTGTCCTGTCTGTTTCCTAGGTACAGTATTTTCATTTCAATTGTGAAGTCATTAGGGGTCATCCAAGGTAACCGTTTATTAAAATAGTCCTCTTTTGTTTCAGATTTCCTGTTGAGATGCTTTAACATGTAAAAATCTCCCTGCTGATGTGTCATGTTAGCTTTCCTAACCTCTAGATAGAAACCACAAAGCAGCCTACATAGCTGTATGACTAGTTACCCACCTACATAAACAATAATTACTGCTAAGTGGGAAATTAGATGTCACATTTTAAGTCTAAATGAAAGTAAAGTATTTGAGAATACTGTCATTAAATGCTTAAAGCTAATCGCAGTTCTCTCACTGTGTTTGTTTTGTAGGACATTTGGGCTTCCAGGACAGTTTTGTCACATCAGGTGTTTTCAGTGTGACTGAGCTAGTAAGAGTCTCACAAAGTAAGTATCATTTTGTGGCCGGTTTATGTGGTTTCTGAAATCCCAGGTTTTTTTTCCTTTGATTCTTATCGTGCCCCTTCCTCAATTCAGAAACAGTGTCTTGAAAATTGAGAGTCTCTTCTCCCCGATTCTTGCCAGTGAACAGTGTTTATGTGCCACATCTTTTAATGTGGGAAAATAAAAGAGCTTAATTTTAAAGTAAATAAAAAATTAAGTTACAAAAAAAATTTTAATTCTGCAAACTTGCATGTGCAAGTTGATAAGCTCGTCTGGTACCCAGCTGAAAATGGGCAGACTCTGTATCAGAGTGTAGATCAACGCCTACAAAGATCAGCTTACCCCTTGCAGGATTCAAGGACTGCATTTGAACCAGACCTTTAAAAACGACACGATCTGTGCATGTAAACCTGGAAATTTTCTTACGCCGCTTTTGCACGTGGTGTCCATCCATGCCATGTCCACATGTGTGTGTACACCCACAGACCCATGAGCTTGTTCGTAATGCCGACAGCTGTACCAACTTCAGCTCTGATAATCTCAGAGGCATACATCTTGACTTCGCAAGGCCTGCATTTTCCATTAACTGTATGCTATTCTGCCGTCTCGAAGGATTTGTTTTTTGACCTTTAAAGAATGCTAATACCCCCAGCATGAATGACACGCTGCAGCATGATCATTACAGGCTTGTCAATACTCACTAACAACAGTGAATTAAGAGTACCTGTCACCACCCTGTTCCATTGATCAAAGGTGCATTGATTGTATTTTGCTATGACATAATCCAGATAGTCCAAGGAGAGAGTATGGACAGTCTCTTGCAGAGAGACTGCTGGTGAGCCAGGGCGGCAGGTACTAGTCCTTTGGGGGTCTTTTCTGCGGCTAATGTACAACTATGCAGTAACATCCCATTGTCACCAAGCACCACTGCTCCAGGTGAACGGCTCAACTACGTGCCCCTTTACAACCTGAGCGTTTGTAACCAATCTCTTCAGCACTGCCAGCGATAAAAATGGTTCTGCTCCTAGATAGCAGGAATATTTGTTTGTGTATTGGCTCTGAGTATGTAGTTTAAGTCCTTCTGGGGCTGGAATCTAACTGGCACAAACCTAGCAGGCAATCTGTGGTTTTGAGACAGAACACAGAGTTTCTGCAAGGATTTTCCTGTTTTATTTCCTCTTTCGGAAAGACTTGCACTAGCTAGTAAATTGGCTTTGTATTCAAAAATAGGATGCTACAGGGAAAGCATGGCAAGTGGGAGACACATGAATGTCAGAGTTATACGTGCTGGAGAAAGAGACAGAGAGAAAAAGTTTGAGGCAGACATTTCTCCTGATATCTTTTTTTCCTTGACGACAGGTGGGAATTTTGTAAGAAGGACAAAGTTAAGAGGACTTAGAAATCAGGAGGAGCTGCTGAGTACTCAGCACATTTGCAAATCAGTTCACTTACTGAAGTGCTTAAATCGGGACTTTGACATCAAATTTACTGTACTGTGCACACTGCCTTGCTGGTACCTGCAGCCGTGGTGGACAAAACCAAGTTATCCCCAGTCTTCGAACGTCTCCATGTTGTCACGTCACTTCAGTGTGACAGTGTAAGGCTTTTCAAGCCCGGAGGATTCACCCTCCCACTCTGCAAGGCATCCCACTTCACCACAATCTTATCTTGGCTGTGGGAGCCCGACACAGCAGAACTGCCTCTGGACTCTGTCAGCCGTGCTTCATGTGTGCACAGGACAGGGCTGCTAGAAAAGTGCTCCCAACCAGGACTTGAGCCTCCCCAGCCAGCCCCAGTCCCAGCAGCCTCCCTGGGAGTCTGGCATTGACCTCATGAGTGTCATGTTTCATGCTTATTAATTTTCTGTGATGTTTTATTGTAACTGAACTAAAAGGCTGTGTATCAGAAAGCCTTCAGCATGTTTTGCAAACTATGAACTGTGTCAGTGATGTTCCCTCTGCTTGCCATTGAAGTGCACCACCTCCAAGGATGGGGCACCTGCATGGGCATGAACTTTGTCAGAAATAAGAAAGAAAGTGTTGGTTGGCAGGAAAAAAAAACAAAACAAAAAAAAGGTTCAGCTTTTATCTGTTCCATACACAGGGGTTTGCACTCTTTTTCATGGCCTCTTTAATAATCCTGGGAGGTCAAGACATCAGTTTTATATCCTGTCTAGAAGCCAGCACCTCTACCAAAAATAGTGTCCCCAAAGCATATCGGGATATCACTTCAGAACTGACTCAGAGGGAAGAGTGCCAGCAACTTATTTTGCTACACTGCTTTTGATAGCACCCTGGATTTTCCTTGGAGATGCCCCAGACATGTACTGACCAGCCGTAACCTTGTTTACTTTATGAGGTCTGAGAAGCCCACAGCCTGATACGCCATGGCTACCCAGTAGGATATGTTTAGTGTAGAGTCTAGCAATAAATTCCCAGCGAAGTCAGTATGAATTCACATGCTCTCATTCAAAGAATTATTTAACATAACAGAGCAACGAAGTAATTGCTGCATATTTGTCTAAATTGGCAGGCAAGGTCTTTTAAAGAGTGTTCTTTCCAAGATAACCCTTGCTGGGTTGTCTGGGTGTTCCTGTGTCTTGATTTGAGACCAGTCCCAGTTAGTGGCTTACTTTCATGCTGGAGAGCTCAGCTTATGAACAGCCATCATCCAGACTCACCGGCAGCTATTAACCAGCTGCAGCTTGAGTAATCAAAATGTCCTCGGCCTATTCTCTTGGTTTTACTTTCTAAAAAGTCATCGTTCCTTCAGAAGCCACCACGGCTAGAGAAGGAGCAAGCCTGCCTATCCATCGTGGGCCCTCATGTTTAGTCTCTGCTCTCTTCCTAGGTGTGCTCTGTGTTTGCTTCACAAAGAGGTCATCTGTGTGTACGTCCACTGTCATTTTTCTTTCCACACTTGTTTTTGATACTATGATGATAGAAATAAGTGATTTCCCACAGTTTTAACCAGCCTGTGGCTGCTGTTATCTAAAATTAATCCCATGAAATATTGTCCATAGAAATTATGGGCCAGATTTATTTAGTAAAGTTCCCAGAGGCCCACATGACAAGGAGTCCCAAGTAATAGGCAGTTGTCACTGTCATGCAAATTTGGGGAATGAATTAATCAAGCGAAAGGTCAGCTGTTATCATTATCTATCTTACCTATCAGTGCTGATCATCGCAGTTTCTGTGAGCTATTGAACAAGTCTAGACTGTTTTGGTAACAGAAACTTGCTTTCTTTAGTCCTGCAGATGCCTGTGTTCTTTCGAGATGCTACCTAGCTGCTGAATCTTGCAGAGACGAGTCAAATAGGGAAACTGATCGTAAATGTTCATCTGAAAAACAGATAGACCCCTCTCCACCCCACCTGATGTGGATGTTGCAGACCATGCTGTCAGTTCTCCCACACTATTAGTAGGCAAAGGGTGTGAGCTCCTTTCTTAAGTGTTGTGCGTCACCCCAGATACTGGGGAGACCCCTTCAGATAACAGAAACTTCGTTTTTCCATCTCTAGAGAGGTTTGGGCTGACAGCAGAAGGCTCAGAAGCAGAAGCGTTGGGAGATGTTCGGGTTTTGTGAACTGACGGCCAGCTGTTGGCCGAGCAAAACATTTTCCCTCTCTACCCTTGTTAGGAAAATGTTTCCCTCGCTGTGTGCAGCTATCTGCAGGGCACTGGAGGATGCAGAGGGTGCTGGCAGAGGGGTGGCTGTGGTGCCAAGCCACTGCCAAGTGTACAGTCCCGTTTGCTTGGCAGGGGCTGGGGGACCGTGGCAGGCTGGAGCAGGGACAGAGGCATGGGGAACGCTGTTACCCTCTTGGCTTCGAGTCTGCACCACGTGCTCTTGTGCAGAGAGCTGCTGGGAAGATCTCCTCCCTTGGAGGTCCTTCAAGCAGCCAGATAAACTGCACTGCCCAGGATGTGAAGAAAGATTTAGGATTTATGAACATTCGCTAGAGCCAAATCAAACATATTTGTTTTGTGCTGTGTTATTTGTCAAAATGACATCATTCTTCATACTGATAAACAAGGGAATTCTGACTGCGCCCTGGACTGAAAATGCCACGCTTCGAGTTTTAAGATGTTAGCTGTGTGCAGTAGGGAGGTGTATGGGGCAAGTGGGGTGACTTTTAATCCTTCTAATGAGCCACTGAAACCACAAGCACCCAAGTATACATGCACCTGCTGACTGCTCCTGTATAAACACAAAAACTGTCAGCTCATTATCCCTGAGACAGTTACACTAACTCCACAGGTAAGAGGTGCTTCCATGGCCAAGGCATTTTGAAAAGCTCAGGATCCTGCAGCACCGAGGCTGTAGCAATGGAGGCAGAGGCTGAAGCTGTCCTTGCCGTCAGGCTAGAAATGAAAATGATTGCTGCCACTCCAGGCGTGGATGCAACGGAGGAAACGCAGCTTCCTCATGCCTTTCATCCAGTGGGCAGGTACAGCCCAAACAAACTCCAGGGAAAGTCTACAAACCCCAACATGGATGGGGGCCTATGGCAAAGTGTGGGGTGCCCCGGGTCCCGACGCAGGTCTGGGCCAGGCAGGTGGCTGCAAGGGGCAGGGAGGATGCTGCTGCCTTCTTGTAGCCCAGGAGAGGAGAAGAGGCTCTGCTCCACACAGAGCACGTGTGTGAAAGCCAGACTGTAATACTACAGTTCTCTCTAAACAGCAGCCTGTATGTTTTCTGCTATACTAAGCATTACAGTAGTGAAGGTAGTTAAAGTCAGCAGCATGAAAATTAACATTTAAAAAGATACTCTATATTCCTTAGCAAAGCACTGCTATCCAAAACACACTGTGTGGGCTTGGGTATGTGAGGAAGAAAAAAAGATTATAATAAAAAATAGACTGCAGGCATAGAGTGAACAGTTGCCGTGACCTTGCCTTTTGTATGCCATTACACAATTCAATGGCAGTCCACTCAAACCTTGCTCTCGATCAATATCCTATTAAAGCAGCACAAAAAGTCTCTATAAACTTAGTGGTTAGCTATGTTTATAAATGGAACTCAGCATAATTAGATGGTCAATAGCAGGCTGTACTTGTAATTTTAAAATGAACATCACACATTTCATATCTGTTGTATTCGGCAAAACCTCTTTGAATCTAACGATATAGTGTGTAGGAAACAAAAAAAAAAAAAAAAAAAAAAAAAAAAAAAAAGCCAACCACCCAGCTCCCCTTTCCTCTCGGCAGCAGCAGCGCAGTGTGTTTCCCTTTGTTTATGGAGTCACAACACAGGAAAAAGTTTATTAGTCAAATGTCATGTTTCTCCCATTTAACCTTAAACACATTATCACTTTGCTGCAGTGTTACACATGTAATGATCTTAGTCACATCCCAGCCCCTTTGTGAAAATAAATACATAAAAATGGAAAAAAAAAAAAAAAGATAAATTAAATATTAACATGACTAAAAGAGAGTGCTGTAGTCCAAGGAAGACAAATGCCAGCCTGGCTGGTTTTATTTAGTGGGTTTCCTGTTCTATAATTCAATAAATTTTTCAAAATAAATATTCCAATTGAGTTAAGTCAGAGGGCTTTTTGTTAATTTCTCTGTTATTTTTCTTGACATTCGGGTGAAGATCTGAGCTAACAAGCTGGCAGTGGAGAGCAGGCTGGCAGCAGGGGTGACACTGCCCCATGTCCCCAGGAGCAGCACAGTGCAGAGATGCAGAGGTGCCCACCTTCCTCCTCCTCCTCCTCCTTTGGGGCAAACTAACTCCTCCTGCCTCTCGGAGCGAGTGAGACACGTCCCATCTGCACAGGGATTTATTTTTTGTGTGTGTGATTCCCACAGCTGAATGCCAGCATCAGTCTGTTTGCTTAGAAAGCCTGTGCACATCAGCGGGCTGGGTGTTAGGGGAAGAGGGGTCCTTCCTCCTCGCCCCCGCCAGGTCGGAGCCCTGGCTCAGATGACATCTTGATGCTGGCACATAGGTGGAGACTATTGTTTTGACTCGCAACTGTAATTTCTGACATCCTTTCCTGTTTGGGAGATGTTCCTGAACTAGCAGAAGGTCACTTCGCTGCGGAGCATTTCTGGAGGGGGGAATGGCCTGTTTTTAATGTCATTGCCCAGAGTTTCTGCAGGCTGCAGCGTGTAACAGCCGACTGTGCTGGAATGGAGCTTCCTAACCACGCCGCTGCTTCGCAGGGCACCGCAGCATGTGCCTCGGGGATAGGAACAAGGGTGGAGGGAGGTTGCATGGTGGATAGTCAGATGCTACAATGAAGAGGTTTAATTTATACAGAGTTCTGCCACAGTTTGCACCACTTTGATCCCTTGCAGCCTTTGCGGGGAGTCCTGCAAATTAAATGCAAGTGTTCCCTTCCCATCAGCTTTCTGGGCCTGTGCAAGGTGTGAAAAGCCATTTGGAGCAGGCTCGGATGCCTCCTGGCTGGGCTGGCAGCACCGTGCCCACTCTTCTGGCACGTTGCACTGCAAAGCTCGAGGGTTGCTAGAGGGGGCAGAAGCCAGGCAGCGAGCTCCCCCCAGCCGAAGCCCGGCGCAGGAGGTGTGAGGTGTGGCTGAAGCAGAGGCAGAAAGCACACACAACTTCAACCGAATTCCAGCCAGGAAGAGGAAGCGACCTTCCGCCATGCGGATGAAAAACATTAACTTCTTCCTGACAGTCTCAGGGTGGGCTCTGCACGTTGCCACGCTGCTGTGTTTTATGATAGCAAATGGGGTAACTGTGAGCAAAGGTACAACTGCCCTTTGCTGCAAGACGGGCACGGAATACTTGGTGAGAAGGGATTTCAGAACAGCGTAGCCCTGTGTGATGTTTGCCACAGCACTTCCAGGGCCAGAGACCTCAAGCTGGTCGTGGCCTCTGTGTAAGGACCTCCAAGGGGTTTGAGGTTCTTGCTGACATAGGCCAGCCAGGCACTTTAACCTCTGCTGCTTATATCTCTTGGTCTATAATAGAGGTGAGTTTTCTTCAACCCTCAGGCCGCAAAGAGGCTCTTGAGCGTGGCACAGTGACAAACAAAGCATCCTTCACGTTTGCTACCCAGGCGGAAATTACTCTGTGATTAGCTCGACTCTGTGCTGAGTTTACACAGCATTAGCAATACGTTGTTCCTACCCCACCCCTGCTCTGGAGATACATTTCATTTTCCTATAGGGCCAGTTCAAGTGTTGGAACAGAAATATCCAAGATTTGAGGAGAGAGCGATAAATGGGGAGACGGGGAGGAGAGAAAGGAGAGCAGCGTTATCCAGATAACCAGTTTTTCTTCCGTATCTGTTTGGAATAAAAGTTTCATCAATCTTGCAATGCCAAGGAAATTCATTCGTGCCTCAGAAGGAAATGGTACTTTAATTTAGTGTTTGCCTTTTTATGTTCCTGTTTGGAAAATAGTATGCTTAACCTGTTAAGTTAGGCTTTGGTAGGCAGAGGGTGCAGAGGAATTGATCAGCAAAAGGTTTACAGAGCACAAATCTGTTTGGCAAGGAAGTTGCTGAAAACTGTGGAGTAGATGCTGCAGAGAGTACCTTTATGATTGATTTCCATTCAAGTCAGACTGACTGCAGTGTGGTCATTTTTCTAACCCATAACTGCTCACACTGCAGCAGTCTGCTATCTGCAGGGTGTCTGAATTATAGCAGTCCATGTCCGTGTTACCTTTTACACAAATTACTTACACCGGTTTCTTTTTCCATGCAAATTCATCAGTTTTACAGCCTCTTGTAGCTGCTGTCAGGAAACTGTTACAGAAAGCACAAATTGATAAAATGAGTTAATTTTACTACGCTTAATTTTTCTTTCTTTCTGTTAACACACCCTCTCATATACCCAGTGTGCAGGAAGCATATGATAGTTAGGAGAAGATAACAAAGGATTTGAGTGTTCTTGTCATAAATTACTTCCCAACTTCATTCCCTTTAACGATCATTCCAGATTTTCTCAAGTTTTAATGGTGGTGTGTATTTTCCGTCCCATGCTTTTAAAACTCCATGGCTATCCAGGCTGTTCCCTTTCTGTCTCAATGACGTTCTTAAAAGATCCTTGCCAAACAACAACTAATTGTCTTGTGGGGATGATGAGACAGCTGCAAAGCTACATTATTCCTCTGTCAAATCTGACATTGTGAGCTCCTTAAGACTTGGGGTGAAATACTGGCCCCGTTACAGTCAATGGCAGCCCTCCCAGCAGCCTGCGTTTCAGCCCAGACATGTTAGCTGGGTGATAGGAGCTATCCTGTCTTCATTTCCTCACTCCTGCCCCGTCGGAGTGAAAGATTTTTTCATGTTTGAAAATGGGCCAGATTCTCAGACCAAAGATTAAACTTGGCTCGGCATCCCTGTGTGGCATTGAGACTGCTTCGCCTTTGTTGCTGTGAATCAGGGCTCTCAGACAATACGTTCCAGGCCAAGCTTGTGCATTTTATTGTGCAGTACGTCCTTTTTCAGATGCCTCTGAAATGTGAGAGAAAATCATGATCAGTAATTGTCAGCTCCCAAAGTTGTATTGTCCTGTAAATAGCACTGGAACAGCGACAGTGGATATGGTACCATTTGCTGTGTAGTGGCTTTTTTTGTGTGTGTGAAATGCATTATCTGTTGACTTTAACATTAAACTGCTCCATTCCTTTTCTGTTCCAAGAAGAACATGACACATGGAGTTCACAGGCTTGTGCCCTGCAAACTTCAGGGTGTGTAGGAATTTTACTATAAAACCAAGGCTCTAAGACAAGGAATTTAAAGGTATTCATATCCCTTACAATAAAACGTAGGTGCTGGATAAGGTAATGAGAGGTGAACGGTGGAAGCTAACGGCTGGATAAAAAGGTTTTGAGAGTCATATGTCTCTGGCTCTGATTTAGCTGGAGGGGAGGCCAAAGAAAAACTCAGATGTTTGCAGGCAGAGGAGGAACTCAGGTTTCTCATCTGCTTTTGTGCTTTCTCCAAGGAGCATTTGTAACCTCTGTGCTTGTGGATGTACATCACGTATATACCAAAGGTCCTGAGGTGTGTATTTCCCTGCCTATACTGCTTATAGATTATGCCAAGCACACTGCAGGCTGTATTTGTAACTATGCCAATAGATACGGTGTTGTCCTAAAAGCAAAAGCAACAAGTTTCATTAAATGTTAGAATGATATTAATAGAAAAGCAGTACTTAAAGAAAGTCTTGCCTTAATTGTTTATTAAAAAAAAAAAAAACAAAAAACAAAAACCTTTGGAGGGATGTAAGAAAGATTTTATGTCATGGAGCATTGTATTCTTGATAAAATTTACATCTTCTTGATTGCAATGCCAGTTACCATTAGCATTTCCTAATTTCCACGTCCCACCTGTTCTCATCGTGAAACTAAACACACTCAGGAGGAAGAAGAAAGTGATTTTGAAGTGCAATTCATGCCTTATTCGCATGTCTTACTGACTGCAATCTCTTTTGTTTCCCCAGCACCGATAGCTGCAGGAACAGGCCCTAATTTCTCCCTCTCAGATTTGGAAAGTTCTTCATACTACAGCATGAGCCCAGGAGCAATGAGGAGGTCTTTACCTAGCACATCCTCTACCAGGTAATTTAATCTCTGCCTACTACCAGGTTACTTGGAAACCCAGGCCAGCATCGTTACTCATCTGGGAAACTAACCATGAAATTCTCTGACAAGCTGTTTGGGGGCCTCAAGATGTGGAGCTGTTTCAGATTCAGAGCTGAATGTTCAACCGGATTGCTGTTAAAGTTCTTTTCATACTTACAAGCTTCAAAGAAAAACTTCTGCATTGACTTGTGTAACTTCTGGCTTGTGTCTCGGTGTATCAGGAGAAGTTCCACTGGAATTGTTGGACTTTCACTCATGGCAGAAGAGAATTTGGAGCCTATCAAGATGTGCCACTTTGTCCTAGCAGAAAAGTCTTACATGTACTCTTTATTGTAAAGAGTGTTACCTGTGAGACTAACATCTTTTAGGACCTTGGCCTATAATGCATTCTGGTCTTCATCCAATATTTAGAAATTTGTGACACAGCCTTTGGAAAACTGAATTGTTAATGTAGATGACTACATGGTCAGATTTTGATTTTGGCTTAGATGCTGACTATCTAACAAGGATATTTTTTATTTTTCACCTTGCACTGCAACCATCCATAAGATTAGATTTATAAACAAGCCTAGTCACTCTAGTAGTCTTGAACACTCTTAAGGAAACAGATTGATTTTTTTTTCCCCAACAGCCAAAATAGATCACTTATTTCAAAGACATGACAAGAAAGTCTTAACTCCAGCCCAGGGTTCTTTTACATTTTTATCTCGGTCTGCAGTGCCACCAGCTTTGCCATAAGCAAGTACACATGTAGAAAGTCTCTATAGTTTGAATATAGCTGGTTTTATTTTTAAAAAAATCTTTAAAGAGAGGTTCTTAGCAAAAAATTCTGAAGTTTGTAGTCGTTGGAAGAACATTCTATATCTTGCATTTGGTGCGCACATGATGAAGCTTGGTGACTACAGTTCCCATTACACATCATTTAAAAACTTTGTGCTCTTTCTTTTTTGCTTGTAAACTGCACACCCTACAGTGTTCATCATTAGCACCATTCTCAGGTAGAATTTACTTGTGAGTCCAGAAGCAAAAAAGTGAGGTTATTAATGTTACTTAAGAGCTCAGTTGTTGCTCTTCTATTCTTCAGCAAATAGCTACCACTGATAAGGAGCTAATTATAAACAGCATGGGTAGTTAATAACTTGGTAATATGTTTGTTTTCCTCTCATTAGGCTGTTCCCAGTCAGGAAAAAAAAATATTCCTTAAATACACAGACTCAGCAGAATTATCAGGCAGTAATTATATTGTATGCACACAATTTCCCCTATTGACACATAACAATTCTCTAAATTAAGGAATGGCCAAACCTGCATTCCACGCATACCACAAGACTTATTCTTCCTGTTTCTCACAAACTGATTTTGCATACCCGCCAGCTCCTACCTGTGCAGGGCTTTGGGTGGGGAGCTGCGGAGAGGCTGCAAGTTTTAAACCAATAGAAATTGCAGTGGAATGTTTGATGTCTGTTAAATATGTTCCCTCTATACAGAGGACCGTGTTCTTGAACGCCTTAAGCCTTAATAGAATACAGATTTGGGGAAAAAAGTGAGCTGACCCAGCCTTGGAAAAGTACTTAGAAGAGAAATTCTCGGTAACGTCCCCATGCAATCTGTACAACTCATTATAGAAAATAGAGCCAAGCTAAGTGTCTTTGGCTTTGGGATCCTCTCCCTGCAAAAATACTGGAGTCTGAGTCAGGGGCCACCAGAGACCGCTGAAAGAGCTCTTCTGTCTCTTGAGCCTTTGCTTCAGGAGGTGTGATATATCACAAGGGAATCCTCTAGTACGGACCCTGGCCAGAGATAGTTGGGGGCTTTTTATGCTTGGTGGTGTAGAGTTACAGAGTAAATGCTTAGAACTGTAGGAGAACATGAACATTTAAACCCAGGATGGATTCTTCCATCATTCACTTGTCTACGCTTCTTCTTCTAGGACTGAAGTCTGGGTTAATTTAATGGCTACGGTCAAAAGATTGAAAATACAAATTCGAACTGATAAACAATTTGTCTTTCAGTATAAGCTGTGGAAAAATCTGGCAGTTGAAATAAGTCTTGTGTGACATTACCATATTCATTCAAATTGCAAAAATCACGCAATACAAATTAAATTCTAGCCTTTTTATTTATCTCTGTGTGCTTTGAAAAACGTCCCGCTTTTTGATCTGTGAAAGCCTAAATGTTGAACTATCTTCTAGTTAAACTAATGCGTGTTTAGGGCTTCAGCCTGGACTCTGTGACAGACTGGTTTGTATCTCACAGAAGCTTAGTCATCGGCAAGGAAGCAAATGCGAATCAAAAAGTGGATGCCAGGAGGTTGGGCAGGCAGGATGGCTCTGCCATCATACCTTCCCCTTCTCAAGGCCCTAAATCTGTCAGAGTTTCCGTAAGCAAGTTAGTCTCAAGCAGGGCTAGCAAGATATGTCCCAACAGAAGTGCCTTTGTTCCTTTCCATACATACGGTATTTATTATGTGTTTTTACTTTTTCAGCTCTACAAAACGTCTCAAATCTGTGGAGGATGAGATGGACAGTCCTGGTGAGGAGCCGTTTTATACAAGCCAAGGGCGCTCTCCGGGAAGTGGCAGCCAGTCAAGTGGATGGCATGAAGTGGAGCCAGGTAAGCCATGGCTTTCAGGAGCCCGAGAACGTGACCTCCAGTCGCTCTGTTTTGTTATCAGAATACACTGAATGCTGTATAGAAAGGTGATCAGTTCTAAACATCTTGTAACTTCTGAGAAAAGGTCAGTCTAATGAAAATATTCTAGTGGTTTTATTGCTCCTGCAGCTGTGAATGTTTCCGTAGTGTGTCATTTCTGTATTTTGGCCAAATATCTGAACTATTTAAATAATGCAGCAAAATAGAGGTGGTCTTTTTCTGTCAAAGTGTCCAGATTCAATTCTGGGATAGTGGTGACAATCACTTCGCAAAAAGCAGTACCTGTCTGGGCTGTGCCCTACAGTTACACTGTTTAAATAAATATTCCTAAACGTATATAAGGTATAGAAGGACTTTTCAAGCATTATGCAACACTTACATGCTCACTTAGCAATGACTTTTAAGAGTTTTACAGAAGGACTTGTTCTATTAATCTGTAATACTATAAAGTGTGATTGGAGGCTTCATATCAGCGTAGATATCACTGGACGTTATACTTCGTAAGGTTTAGGAAGCAGCTCTTCTGCCTCTCAATTTTTGTGTGTAATCTTTCTTGTTGACCATCTTTTGGGTTATGTTACGTTACATACTTAACTGTCCATTGATCACTTATCCTCAGATCATCTGGGTGCTTAATACTATTGCAAATATTTTTCTGGGTCAGTGCTACATGCATAGGTGAAGTTAATGCCTCAATTTTGCTTACAGCTAAATAATCAAGTATTTATCGCCAATAAAAATAGCAGGTCTTATTTGTTAGATGAAGGCAAGCAGGGCTTTCTTCTTCAGCCTCCTAGAGTTTGAGAAGGCCCTCTAAACAGCCCAAAAGATCTTTCGCAATATGTACTTTTTTTTTTTCTTGCTTGTTTATTTGGATTTAAAATAGTATGGTTTTGTTTTTTTTGAAACAACACATGCTTGTCCAGGGCACTGTGTATAATGAACTATAGAGCACAGAAAAGTAAATTCAACCTGAACAGCATTAAAATCAGTTCTGTGGGCACTTGGCCAGCCACCTATATCCTTCATCATGTAGGAAACATACCCACAGCTTTCTCTGGAGACCCTGTCAAACAGCTGTCCTTTACAGCATGCCCAGAAAGTCACCAAATTTGGGCTATTCCAGACTGGGAGGGGACTGATTCCCGCGCCTGGGAGCCCTTGGAGGATCCCCTGCCAGCTGCCCTCTCTCCTCTAATGAGGAGGAGCCAGCTTGTGGGCCCTTATTGACTGCAGATGTGGCACTTTGGCAGGAGGAGAGGGTAGACCTGCAGGCAGACAAGTGCCAGGCTCCCCGTGACTGCCTTGCCGCCGTCGTCCCCAGGGCTCTGGTGTTTTCAGTGAGGTGTCCTGCTCAGTAGACACCAGGGGCTGTTTCCTCCATCAGCTCCAGGCTCCAGATGATGTAAGGCAGAGCTTCACCTTGTACTAAACTAGCCTGCTCATGGAGCGGCAAAAACACGAACAAAAGCTCAGCGCCCGTTGAAAGGGAAAGATCACAACCTCCTCTGCAGACACAGATGCCTAAAAGCTGACTGGGTCACTGCTTCTACATCATTGTCAGACTGGGGGCTAACTCCCCCCAAAGTTTGGGGTACTCTTTGTTAATGACAAACGTTCTCCATTCGTGCAGTAGCCAGAGGCTGGCTATTAATTTTGTTGTCGCTTCTGGTGGTTTTGCCCACATGTGGTCACTACCTCTGTCTCATCCAAGTCCTGACTAGATGGTGGCACTGAGCTGCTGAGCTGGACAAGAGAAGTACCTAGAGCGTTACACCTCCACCACGCCTGGCACCACTGGGTGCCCATCATGAAGAAGCACAACTGCCCCTGTCAAACTTCCAGAGGTGCTCAGAAAGGCAAGAACAAGTCAGAGAAGAGAAGGTTCTTCCTACCACGTGACCTTCCTCACTTACTACAGAAAAATCCCAGATTCTGCTTAGTCTTGCCTGTAAAATGGCAGAAAATCACCTTGCAACATCAGGGACTCAAGCCAGGTACCAACCAGATATAGCTCAGATTCACCAAGCTATCTATCACTGTCACAGCTATGAAGAAAAAAAGGGCTTTATCTTGCCTGTGTGGGATGCACTTTCAAACCATCTTTATGCTATATCCACGCAGCCCCACCCCAGTACTTCTGCCATGGCTTTCCAGCAGCCTGTCCTCTGAATTCATTGCCTCAGCTTCTCTGTAGAACGGGGTCACTGCAAGAGCACGGCTGGCAGAGAGATTACCTAAAGAGCCACAGCTCATCAGTGGTGAAGGACAAAACACTACTGAAGTGTCCTTCCATGCCAGGGCAACAGTGGCATGTCTCTGGCACAAGGTGCTCCCCCCTGAAGGACACATCCTGCTGTGGTCTGTGCACAGTGCCCTGCCTTACCTCAGATATCACACCTGGGGCTGGTATTAACATCTGGCCCTTTGTGTTTGACATAGGTGCTTTATCTCCAGAAGTGTAAAAACATTTTGTGAGTCTTCAATGGGGCATCTGCCTAGAAAATAGATTGGTCATCTGAAAGCCGTACAAATGATGTTAACATCCCCTGTTACCTGGTGGCTGACTGCAGCGTTCCTCTCTGAGAGGGGAGCTTTTGGAGCCTGGACCTGTTTCAGATCCATCCTTTCCGATGTCTCTCCTCTCCAGAAAAAGACCTTCCCATTTATTTAATCTACAGTCAAAATGATGGCACAGCTTTAACATACAGTAATCTCCGGGCTTCAGTGTTTTTTGTTTTTTCTCAGTGAAATTCACAGTAGAAGTTTAAAGACTAAAACCATCTTTTTGTTTGACTTGGCATTTTTTCCATGTGGTTCATTTTATGCTGCGTGGGATAATGCAGGTATCAACGGTGCAGAATGATGCTGGTTCGGAAGGCAGGCTGAAGTTTTATCCTGTGCTGGCAGAGCAGTGTAAGCCAGGTTTCCAAACTCCATAATTAAATCCTGTCCTTTGGGTTACCAGCCAAACAACGGGAGGAGGAAATCAGACCAAGGAAAGGAAGCTTAGACTTGTCTGTGGGATGGCTGTTCTGGCTGGGAAGGAAAGTTCAGAGAGGAGCCAGCAGCCAACCTCCCAGCCCAGTAGGATCCACACCAAAGATAATAATATATCCTTTGGCTTTATTGCCTTTGAGTAGATTGCTTCCTCACAGGAGATTTAGATTTATGCAGAGATAGCTTCTTGGCCTATATGCCTTGACAGGTTTATGGGAGCAAGAGGATGAATATTCTGTCTGTGTGTGTTGCATTTGCTTAATTCTGAGGTGTGCACATGAGAAAAAGTGGGGACTCAAACACAGGAGCAGGTGTGAAGCACCCGTATGCTCACGAACGTGTAGAGACAGAGGGAAGTGCTTGTGGCACGGAGACTAGGAGGAGGTTGCAGAGAAAGGTGCTGCCTGGGACAGTGCAGGCAAATTAGATCTGCATGAGAGGGAGACTGGAGAAATGTCACACTCGAAAGGGAGCACAACATAGAAGAGAAAGGGAAAATGAGGAGACAATTTTAGACTGTACAAAAAGGAAAAAAGTATATAGGGGAAAGAAAAAAAAATAACAAATGCCAGGAAAACAAAGATTTGACTTCCTAGAAAGGAAATATGAAATGGAATATGTGAACTCCTCTTAGAGAAAGAGAGCACTCCAGGCAGAGGGTTATTTACCGCCAGCCGTGACTAGTCACTCTACATCTGTCTCCATTTTTTTCTCTTGAACAAATTCCCTTTTTGGATACTTTCTTCCTGCTTTGCTTCCCTGTGATTGCCCCTGTAAGTGGTCTTTGGAGGGCAGGCTGTATACTCAGAACATATGTGCAAACTGGCAGGAGAACAGAAGAGGACAAAACCACTCTGTGTGCTATTTAGATTAGGCAGTGGATGCTTCCCCTGTGCCTACTCTTGGGGTCTCTGCTGCGTGCACAATACGGGCTGCACCTATTGTCCATCCACAGGCCTTCCTCTGCGCTTTTACGTCCTGGGGCCCTGGGGTGGGAGCACCCTGACGTCTGTCTCACATGGAGACTTTGCTGGGTGTAGATCCTACATCCTTCACCCAGCAGCCACATGACCTTCCCATTCCTGGCATTGCAGACCCATAGTAATGAGTGGAGGACTCAGCCTTGTGGGGTTTTTTTTTGCATCTAGATACTTCTTGCAAGCAAGGATAGAGCACCCTCCTTATACGTCAGATGTGACAGCCAAAGCAAAACCCAACATTAATTCCATGTTCCTTGTATTCTTTGAGTCTCGCATCCATTTACCTGCACTCGAAAGCTCCCGGGGAGCTCTCAGGCCTAAAAAGGCTGGAGTCTGCCAGAAAAGATGAATTTCCTTTCACAACAGGAAGGCTTAGGAAGTAAAACAAAGCAGACATGTAGTAAATTACTTCTGCTTTTCAAATACCTTTTGCGGTATCCTCCTTACCATTACTTTATCTCAGCACTTTCAGTACATAACTCTTGTTAACCGAGAAGAAGGGCAAGAGAGGATAAAGATGATGTTAGTAAGAAAATAAGGCAACATCACACTGGCTTTGAACTCATGTACAAAGCTGGCCCGTGTTCAGTTCTGTGGCAGCTCTGCTTGTAATGGGGGTAAGCCATAATTACAGGTATAAGTTTTTTAATTCCATAATAAGAGAAGATTGAGTTAATGCATATCAGTATTCCACTTATGCATTTTTTTTAATGCATTCTCTTGATTCAGTCCAGGAGTAATATTCACATTGTGCTCCGTCAGTCATTTTGTAGTGTAGCGTATGGATGGTATTTGCCAATTCTATTTCTATTGTATTTCTACAGGGTGGCATGGAAAAAAAAATGTTTAAGATGCAAATTTAGAGTATTTTATTAGCTTCTTTACTTAGATCTTCCTGGTACTTCTATTTCTACAAGTTCAAGTTTGGTCCCTAGAGGACAGTAATCCCAGGCAAGGTACGTGTTTGTACTCCTTGCACTT